AAAGCAAAAGCGACCGATTGGCACATTGAAGTTTCGTAACAGTGGCCATGTTTGCTAAATCTTACTACCAATTCCGTTAGAAACTCGTAATTTTCTGTTTTAGTTTGGAACAATCGTGGGCACTTCATATATTAGGGTACTGTTTTACTGAACGAAATACGATTTCTAAGGATAAGCTTACGATGGAATTTCGAAAATATATATATGTATATATATATAGGTTGGGATTAGACCACTCAGGTTTAAACTGTCGAATAGGAAGCACATGTTCTTTTCACATGACAGCTTGCTACAAAAATTAAGGACCACATCACTCCAGGCTACGCAAATACGTTTCCTATGTTCTTATAGACAAAACATGCACTCAATGAGCTACTTCCCTAAAATACTGTCACTTTGTTGAATTAAGTCAATTGTGGCCACGTGATGTCTTTAGAATGCTACAGAATATTGCATGTTTATCCCCACTATGCACATAAAGCTCAACAGATGTAACAAAGATTCTGCGATCAGCCTCGGCTTTGAAAAATGTTGAATTATCCAGGAATTTTTCTTAAATTTTAGATATTGGTGTTCGTTACCTCTCTGCTACTGGACCTTTGAAAAATGGTGCTGAGTGCAATGAGGTTAGCCACATTCCCGCCTGCCATAGAAACCTGATTTGTATGCATTGTAGAACAGTTATTCTTATTCTTCATACATTCAACTGATATTCTCTTAGGTACATCGACTCTTTCCTAATTAACGGAGGAGATATTACGTGACTAGCTCATCAGCAAATTTTATCGAACTGTTTCAGATATCCGTTTTTCTCAAAGTTTCTAGACATAAGTGGGATTTTCCAAGTATATCAGAGCAAATAAAGAGATATGTGAATTGAACTAAGAGACTTTGTGCAACTAGTAATGAATAAAGCGAACATCGTCTTTCCTGGTTTTACTAGTTGTCCCCAATCTAATATAGAAATGTAACGATTTTTAATAGGAAATTGCCTGCTCTTTGATGAGAGCACCCAATACAGAACCCAAAATTGTTGTTCGGAAAAGGCAATTAAATGATATTTATATCTGAGTTGTCCAGGCAAATAAAATGCTTGTGCGGTTGTCTTTCGTCCTCATGAGATCTGGCCACTTAGTCCTAATTAGTTTTTGTGAACACTGACAATTTGAATGATGGTGTTGTAGACCACAGTTTTCTTACTGTCTTCTTAATACCGTGAACCCAATTCCGGATAGCCGCTTGATATCTTGATGCGATTAGCCAAACCGGAACGTGCAAATAAGCTGATCTAATGAACATTGACGCATACAGACGTGTCCAGTGCAATCGAAAGTGAGCTCACGTGGGAATTTCCAAGCGGGCCAAAAAGTGATGCTAAAATTAGAACTCAGCTAACAAGGGCAAGTGAAGAACAACTAATTGAATCTGCCTCAACGAAAAAGGTCATTCCATCGGTAGTTATGCTGTCCAATTAAGTTTGAAGTTGGTGCCCTTATTATATGGCGAAGTATTATGCTGGCAGTCAGCATTTTCACTGATCTCAGTAGGAATGGCCAAAGATGCGTCCCTTGTGTTACGGTTCTACTATTGTACTTAATTAATACAAATCTAACGAATGTGAGGAAAGACGAAGGGAGGAGAATACTCTGTGCCAAAGAATATTCTGCGCTAATATAATACGATACGGAAAAACAAGACAAGACTAACGACATTGGAAATGCATACAAATTATTTTGTTGGGTAACAGAAGAGAAGCCACTCGGATATTGTTGAGTTACTTTCACAAGTTACTCATAAATACGTCAGTAGTTAGTGGAAAAACTGAAGAGTGCAAGCTGATATTGATCCGCCGCAGTTCAGCGTTATTAGCAGACATAAAGCCTCCTTAGTAGGCCTAACACCCACTCCTTATTATGTGCCTAACTGCCATGCTTCCTGAAGGAATCATGAGGGTTGGGATACTGCCAGGTTGCCCAAGGTTGGGCAGGGGAAGTTAGGAAGCAGAGGTTGGGTTCAGACTACGCTCCAGCCATTTGTGCCATCTCGCTCCGCTCAGATGAAGAATCCTTTTGCAGAGCAACTGAAAGGTTCCTCATAGAAGTCGTCACTCAGGTAACTAACCTGAGGTCAACACATGGCCGTTTGAAATGCTTTCAATGCTATGGATGGCATACCGTGTCCTGTCTGAATAAGTATTAATAAAAACGTCGTTCAGCAAATTCTGGCCGAAAGGATGTATCTGAAATTCTTCCGGATTGTTGCGGGTTCGAGGATCCCTGGAATTTTGTGGGATGCGCACATCTGATGGTTTCCGATGGGGATGAAGCAGCTATACAGTTGTTCAATAATATTAGGCACATATAAGCCTTACTTACAAGACGAAATTTCTACTAGATTACTGGGCGCCCGTGAGGAACAGGGATCACACTACGCGTTCTTAGCTTAAGCTGGGTCCGCGGTCCTAATATATATTTTAATTCCTTACAATTGAGGATGTGATTCCCTTGAATCGTGTTTGGTTGACTGCGTGTTAACTGTGATTCAAATTCATCGCATCATGATACCATCATACCACAATACCATCATCATTGATGAGTCCCTTCTTTCCTTGCCGTACATATCACGTGGCAGTGTGATCATTGTGCTTACCCTGCCCGGAGTTTGTGTATAACATGAATCGCTTTTTCGTTCATTGCTCGTAACGCTAAATGAGTTTGCAAGTGAAGTGTCTGACAAAAGTTGAGGTTGTAAACTATCATCAAGAGTAAATCCCCTAATTTTGGTTGCGTGTACGTTAACTGAAGGCCTACAGGTCATGGCCTGTACAGTTACAAATGTTGCGTAATTAATAATTTTCCTGTGTTTACAGTTTAAGAAACTCACCGAGGAGAGATGGAAGAGCGGCTTTATCATGAACTGTCAGCATCTAAGTGAAAAACAAAATGACAATTATCCAAAAGAGCACGAATTTCAACTAACGGTCAATAAAACGCATGTTCCAATGGAGGTGCTCGGAATCCCGTATGCTTTTCAAATGTGGTTCGTCAACCGACTAATCAATGGAGACACAAGTCAGTGTTTTACTGGAGTTGGAACTGCCCAAAGTGAGGATGTTTACTGTGAGTAATGCATGTGCTCTGCAAATTACAGGTCACCAAGTTATTATTTCGAACGGTTCGTTCCTTAGCAATACGTTTTCATCATCGGCTCACGCACCAACTGTGAGATTCGTTGGTAATATTCGCCTCATTCCATGTTTTTTCTTCCATTTTCATTGTTGAGGTATCGGCTGCCAACTACATCACAAAATAGCATTAAAAACAATAATAGGGAGGTAGGGTAGTATGTGGAAGCATGATTTGTACGTGAATGAAAAAAGACAATTTTTGTATGATTTTAGATACGGAAGAATATAGCGGAAATAGAAACTATTATGAAAGTAAGTGTCCGATTCAGTAGGGTTGAGAATCTTTTCGTGTTCAGTTTTTGGAACGAACAACTTTTCCTATTAATCCTAATGAGGTACACAAATTTTATCGTCAAACTGTCATTTGCATAACAATCTGGTTTCACCGAAGACTCACCTGAAACCCAGCTGAATCTCTCGTTTATCACGTTGCTAATTAACTGAATGTGTCGCATGTTCCAGTTGGAACGAGACATCGCGATACACTGTATAGACTTAATGGACTAATCACAAGGTCGTTGAAAACTCCTATGCGCATATTTTGTTCGTCGTGCTTAGCAAGGCGTACGAGACACTCGTTTACACTTCATTTGGATAGAGATTCCCTGTTGTCAATAAAGCATACCTTTGGGGCGGAAGATTTTCTGGGTAATATGTTTGCTTCTTGGTGGTACAAACAAACTTTCCACAAGATTGTATCTTTTGGTACGCTCTTGTTCTCTTGGTAATATAACGGCTTGCAAATATTAAGGCTGTCACACAAATTATAGTGAAGTAGATACTACGTCCGAAGACAAGGCAACATCGAGAAAGGCTTACTCGAATAAAGAATATCATCACGATCAATTCAATAACTAAAATAATGGTTAAAAACCGTAAACTTTTCTTTAAAAAACTGTTTGCCGTCGTGTCTCTAATATACAAGCCCAATACAAGTTAAGCATGAACCATTTAAAAAAATAAACAGCATGAAGACACTAGCGAAGGCGCTTGAGGTTCGCTAAGAGTTCATGTGCCAGAAAGTTCAATCAGACTCAGACAGATAGTTAAACCAAAGAAGAATTTTTCAAATATTTTGGATTCTACTGTCAATTTGGTGTGCTTTGCATCGATCCCTTCGTGGCTGTTGGGAGAGACAATCTAATACCCCTCTACGACTTACACTTGATGGCTTTGAATTTTTATGGAAGCGAAGACGATCGCTCACACAAAACTATGTCTTTATCTAAAGGAGACTGACTTGCATGAAAAGTTCGATGACTGACTTGATCAGGAACGGCTTGGCGAGCAGACTGAAAATCATAATTTCCTCTTCACTGCAACTGAGAAAACGTGTTCACTTTAGTATGCTGTATTTCAAGTCTTCTGTCAAGGCTCCGAATCGCCAATTCTCTGTCACAGATTGGTTAAATTTGACTTTAACAAGTTCACAGCACGACGCACTGAATAAAATCATCACGGACATGGCGAATACTCGACCAGACAAATACAGGTAATACGGGCCGCCGAATCAACTAGTTAAAGTCACTACGCCCGCCAGACAGAGACTGGTAGTACGCCAACACGTAGTTGGTACTGCTACTTTAGCCATCCCGTCTGCGATACAAAAACGTGCAAAACAATTGTTTCATTTTTGTGTACGCAATAATTTCGGGGGATATCAATCCGTGGGAAGTACTGACAAACGCCGATTTTTCGGTTGGAATAGCCAAACACGCCAACTTTTGACAACGGTAACATTTTACACACAATCAAACAAAGGTTGGCTTTATGTCCGTATATTTCTTCCAGTGCATGAAAATAAGGACAATCTGGGCATCAAACGTCTCAGGCCGCTTCCAAAGTTTCAGTGACTCCTTAACTAAGGGTGACACTGTGTAAGAGGCAACTGGAGCTGTTTCATTGTTTAACAGTTCTTGATCCAGCGTTTAGCAATGATTTCAGTCTTAACCTCGCCAAACAGGGTGTTCCTGATGTTTGAGGCTGACATGCTTGGAAATTCCTGTTCGTATATAGTCCACTAGTGATTCATTTTGTCAGCAATGCTTTCTCTCAAACAAAAATTGGCCCGAATTATATTTAGAGGAGACCTAGTCATAGACTAAGTGGTGACAAAATTTATCGCAATAATCGAACAAACCCTAACTAATGTAGTATTTGAGGAGGCAGGTAACCAATATCGGAGGCACGTAATGCGTTTCTATGTCGCACTTGAAAATTTGGTTGCGTCCTTGCAGTGCAGGACATTAACTCTCACACTGATCTGCTTCTTGTTTTCTCAGCGTCGATCAAAGGCAACACGCTGGCTTGGGTTCCACGGCACGTTGTGTTCATTAGCCACTTAGCCATATCGTTTGGAACCTGTTTTGTTTCCGTTCATCTCTTCTGCAGAATATCACAACGCTATAACTACCTACGAGCTTATTAAAGGTGTACCGCCATGATAATTGACAGTGAATTCCGGTACACACTCTACACTGTGGTCCAAGTTCTTACTGCTTTGGTTAGACAAGTCAGTGTGTGGATGGCGGTTTGAAAAGATAGCCCGGTCAACAAATGGAATGAGATACACATAGTGTGCAATACGCCATACAGTATAGAGACCATGCTAGGAGCGAGCAAGGATGTAATTCAAGCCAGTGTTTGTTGCGTTGCAAAACGGGAATGCTTGATGTAGCCTGGGTAAATGAAGCCTGTGTCGAAGCGTGCTTGGAAATACCCTACATTCAGTTTACCATGCATCTGTTCAGGGCATGGAATTGCTTTACTAAGCTCAGTACAGTGAACCGCTTCAAAACTTTGCAGGTGAACGATTTATAAGGTAAACTACATGCTATTGCGTCTCTTGAAGAAAATAGCCTACATACTCCAGATGTGCCAAAGAGAATTTCGAACCATGCTGTGAGGACAGCCTTTCTACTCAGGTGAAGCTTGATTGCATTGGTGTGAAGGATTTTAGAAACTTTAGCGAGAACGTGGTTGAAAATAGGGGATCAACCGTAGTATTCAGCTGTGATTAATAGCACATATTAGAGGCATTTTCTTCGCCTCCGTCTNGAGACCTAGTCATAGACTAAGTGGTGACAGAATTTATCGCAATAGTCGAACAGACCCTAACTAATGTAGTATGTGAGGAGGCAGGTAACCCAAATCGGAGGCACGTCATGCGTTTCTATGTCGTACTTGAAAATTTGGTTGCAGAACGTCCTTGCAGGTTAGATGTTGTCCGATGGGAGAAGGACATTAACTCTCACACTGATCTGCTTCTTGTTTTCTCAGCGTCAATCAAAGGCAACCCGCTGGCTTGGTTTCCATGGCACGCTGTGTTCGTTAACCCCTTAGCCATATCGTTTGGAACCTGTTTTGTTTCCGTTCATCTCTTCCGCAGAATATCACAACGCTATAACTACCTACGAGCTTATTAAAGGAGCGCTGCCATGATAATTGACCGTGAATTCCGGTACACGCTCTACACTGTGGTCCAAGTTCTTACTGCTTTGGTTAGAGAAGTCAGTTTGTGGATGGAGGTTTGAAAAGATAGCCCGGTCAACAGATAGGATGAGATACACATGGTGTGCAATGCGCCATACAGTATAGAGACCGCGCTAGGAGCTAGCAGGGATGTAATTTAAGCCAGCTATTTGTTTGTTGCAAAACGGGAATGCTTGATGTAGCCTGGGTAAATGAAGCCTGTGTCGAAGCGTGCTTGGAAATACCCTACATTCAGTTTACCATGCATCTGTTCAAGGCATGGAAGTGCATCACTAAGCTCAGCACAGTGAACCGCTTCAAAACTTTGCAGGTGAACGATTTATAAGGCCCCGTCGGTAAACTACATGCTATTGCGTCTCTTGTAGAAAATAGCCTACATACTCCAGATGTGCCAAAGAGAATTTCAAACCATGCTGTGAGGACAGCCTCTCGACTCAGGTGAAGCTTGACTGCATTGGTGTAAAGGATTTTAGAACCTTTAGCAGGAACGTGGTTGAAAAGAGGGGATCAGCCGTAGTATTCAGCTGTGCATAATAGCACATATTAGAGGCATTTTCTTCGCCTCCGTCTCCTCAAACCTAATTAGGCGCAGAAATGTGATTTTCCCTTTATGTTCGCCAAACAATCCATGGTTCGTCTATCCTTCCGAAGCGGCTTTTTGTTATAAAGACGTTCCTTAAAGCAATAAAAAAATCCGCAGAACTTGCGATATAATTGTTAATGCTGACTTGAAAACAATCCACAAATTCACCACTACCAAAGACGAATTTCCAAATAATTTAACTTGGGAACTAAAAACTTCATCTCTTGTAGATACGAGAAGAATGGTTGTTTGATAAACTCAAAGCCTTGTGCCACCAGAGTTGCTGGAAGGCACGCAAATTTAACCTTAGTTTGGATGACTACCATCATACCAATAAATCGCTGGGTGTCCTTCAGTTGGTGTGCCAGATTGCAGACGCCTGAAATGACAGTTTTTTGACAATGGGACACCCTGTCGTGCGCAATATTTTTCATAAACAGCAAAAACGGAAAACATCCAATATTTCCCGGTACTTGCAATTTCCCGAAAACCAAAAACAAATTGGAAAATTAAATATATCATATTCCGCAGTCCACTGAAATTGTTTAACATTGTCTCCCAGATTCAGCAACAACTTCAATTTAATTTCTGAACGATTTAGCCAAAACCTTACTTAGCACTCAAACTTGTTTACCCCGGTTACAAATTCCTCATTGAGTGCTAGTCACTCGATTGAACTTGCTGCTGCGACGGACAAACTCCATATCAGCTAAATTACACTGGGAAGCAGCAGTGCTCACTTACGTGTGAAGAAACAATGGATAAAATATGTAGAACCCTTAACGATGCGCAGCAAAGCTACTGTTTCCTTGACTGTTACAGTACTCACAAGAAGTTTATAATGTATGTTGAACAATCCTGGGAGCAATAAGCCTGGATTAGTTTTACACTTTGCGCTTTGTCAACTATGATTTTATTACTTTCTAGGCGTCACATGGTTTAACAATGCGTGTTCAAAGATAGATGCGAATAGTCGATGAACCCACGCAAAGCAAGTCCCGGACAAAATCCTACGAATTTCACACCTAGGAATCATTACAAAGGCCGATTTTCAAGTAGTGATTTTTGTTTATGGTTGCAAAAAACGATATGCATATTTATGTCGGGAGGGATATGTATCGTTAGTATAATGTTGTACACTCAGTATATGTGCCAATCTGGACGTCCCCGTATAATTATATGGGTTCCAGTTTTATTCAACCTGGCTCCCACAAGTACCAAATGTAGAATTTACGCGGTTTCAGCAAGTGTTTAAAGCTCACGTTCTATGTCGTCACTGGCATACTAAAAACGGTAACTCTGCAGAATGAAAATGAAGAATTAAAATGTTAGACGAAACCACTCGGAGAGTAAATCAGTCACCTGACCTTTGGGTCGCATTTAGTGAATTTTCATCTTTAGAAGAGCATTAACTCGCTAATAGCGAGCAATGTTAGGCTAACCCGTTGGATTAAATCTACGAGAAACTTCTTGGGATAATCCACTGATCGGTAGCTCGTTTGCTCTTCTCCATCTTTGAGGCGGGATTACGGTCTTGAGTTTTCCCTAGTTAGTTGATTGATCAGTCTTTCCACTTAGGTAGCGTGACACATGATCGAAGACATGAGTAGATAAGCCATACTTATTATGTTAACACGAGTGTCACCGTAACTGTAAATGGAGCTGATATGGAGCAGGAACTCTGACTGCATCATTATGATAATGCATCATAATATCTCGCTCCCAATAAAATAATTGGTTATTCGACTAAATAAGGGGGAGAATTTTGACCGGTAACGTGGTAATTAAGCAAGCGATTAGTTTTTCACCTCCAAATTTTGGGATAGCATGTATGTACATGCGTTGTACTCTGTTAGGCATGACGATACAGTTGTCTGGGTGGCTGATGGGCAGCCGGATGCGCAGCCGGGTCTTCACGTTCATTCTTGCGAATTAGCCGGATTTCTCACCAATTCTCCTTTTCAAACCCAGGTTTCCGATGAATCTAAAAATGGGGTGCCACTGTGGAAAAACGTTGCGCTGCTTTCCGACTTTGAGAAATGCGTTTATTGTTGTGGGACGTGCTACTGAATGGAACGTTTAGTATCTAGTAAACCAATTTCGCCGTCTCTCTAAGGCAAATTTATGAGGCCACCAGTCCGTTGTCCAACGTTGCCAGATATGGAGTATGTTTCTTTATGGAGCTGTTCAAATAGTTTTATATAAGTTAGTGGAGTTTCACTTTGCAAGCAAGCAATGGTGACGCCAAACAGTCTATCGATTCAGCTTGAAACCTTATAGGAGCCGCAAAAATTTGCGGGCTTTAATCCATGGAGGTGTCGACGTCGTCCGTCTTTCAGACAAAGTAAAACAAACTATGTCAGTTGATCTTTTTTGATTCCCGATGGAATCTAATGAATCGAAATTATTGAATATCATTTTAAACATTTGAATTTTTTCGTGGCATTTCAATTAAAATGAATGTTTTGAACTGGGCAAATTTGAAAATTTTAATAAGTTGGTCAGACCAATTACTTTTGGTGCAACGACATTAATGACTGGTCTGACACAAAAAAGACAAATGGTAAACAATTTTTTTCATTTAAAGGATTTATACTGATTGCTCCGATCGATGAAAAGATTTGCCACGAGGTGAGAAAATGTAATCAACTCATTATTTATGTTATCTCATTACAGCCAAACCAAACATGCCACGAATCACGTTTTCTATGTCTTTTCTTTAAACAAACTCTCTAGCAGTCAAAAGCACAGTTGCATAAAAATCGTTGTTATTTGAATGGGGAAATTTTTTTCCGATGTGAGTTAGAACAAGTGAAAATCTACTGGAGACAATACCTCTTCTTGAATATGCGAGCTTTATTTCAGTGTGAAACTCAAGTCGTTATGTGACGTCTGGTCCTCAGCCTACGGGTTACACAGTTGCGCACCTGGTATTCCAAACTAGGCAAGGCCGGCATATATGAGGCAAACGATGCTTTAGCTTGTGTGGTAGGGAGCACTGACTGATAACCTCGTGATTCAAAAGGCCCCGTACTTAGCATAAGAACTTTCATTTATTTAATTTTTGCTTAAGAAAGTTTACTTCAGAAAGATAAAGCAATATTATAAGTTTGCTTTTTGAATATTCCCCAAAGCAGTCATTTGACCGCACAACTCAAACCAGTTGACGGATTGCATGCAGTCAATTACTTAAAATTTCTGTATGCGAAGGTATTTATGTGAATATTGGGAGGAAACTGTCAACATAAATCTACAGAGTAACTGAGCAGATAAACTGTGGTTGGCACATGATACTAGTGTCATCTAAGATTAGCTGTGGCTTGATGTCCTGGTTATATGTCACATTTGTTTGCTTCAGTGTAAACCCTAACCTAAATCATGTGCTTTATTGTTTGTAACTGAATAACTCAATTTTGGGCACTCCCGAAATAACGTATGAATATTCGGGTTTACTTCTGAAGATCTCTCAATATGTTCTACTGCAATACACTGCTTCTGCTTGGTTATTTTTCCACCACATATCCCGTTCTTTAATAAGCAGGTCAACTTTAGCGCATGTGAGCAAATGTTACGAAACCGTTGGCGTGCGATCTGTTGTTGTCAATAGTTACACATCATTATCTTTGAATTATTGACTGTTGTGCCTTTCCAACTCAGTCCAGGATTTAAAGTCCTACAGATTTGCTATACTAGCTTTCATGGTTTTGCTCCGTCTCGATTTGCTGGCTTAAGTGGTATACAACCGTACTTTATGTCGAAATAAATGTTGTGTCCATTTTTGGTTAGGTAAACAGAGCAGTGCTTTTACAGTGAACACAGTCATTGCTATTCAGAAGATAGCACTAAATTCGACGGAACATCACATTAATGTGACAGCGAGTGGACATTCGTTAATCCCTTACTTTTATTATTTACGTCAATAAAAAAATCTGACGAGGATCGTCTCCAGTGATATCAAAACTTTTGGAGCATTCGGCAGGACTCATTTGGTTTTGCATCAAAATATTTATGCGTTGTTAGGGATTATTGGTGGCGTAGAACAATTGTTTTCACAACACTAAATCTTAGTGAGTAACACTGAGTAGAAACGGTCATACATTAATCGCTGAAATAAATCTACAGATGCCAGATGTGTTCCTGGAGTCTGCTTGCTTGTAGCAAGCAAAACGGTTAATGGATTTATTTTTCTTGTAGATACAATGAACCTACAGCCTGATTAAGATGGGGGCGGGAGTTCTGCACTAGTTGTTCCTAAGAAAACAGTTAGTGCTATTTCATAAGGCATATTCCAGAAAGGATAAATGCTCAGTATGACATGTTGCTGTCACATTCATTTATTCATTGCATTATGCAACAATAAATGCAGATAAATTTTGCTATCATTCAACCTGATTAGAATATTCCACCCTAACTGGTTGAAGTTGATAAGCACTAAAATGCACGGCTCTCTTTATCTACATTTGCTTGCAGCTCAAGAAAGTAAGATACTTTGTCGACGACCAGTTGATTGTGAAATGGTGCAAACGTTTATTGAAAAGCGAAGTGAAAGTTAATGGCCAATTGCTAGGAAAGTACATGTTGAACACGGATGTGAGGCTTGTCAACTACAGAAGAGGGGAAAGCACCGATATTAGCGGCCTATTCTTGCAAGAACTGAATGGGCTCAAACTTGGCTGCAGATACACGGGCTACTGGGCAACGGCAAAGCAACATCCATGCAAGTTTTTGACACTGTTGTTTAGACATGCTATGTTCTAATTAACCATTACATTTTTGAAGGCAATTCAGTTGGTAGCTATCGGCAGCTTTAGAAATGCACGGCTAGTAAGGCCCACTAAATTTTGGTTGACAAACGAATTTTTGATGCCAAGCTTATCTTTTTATTTTTCCCGATTTCAATCGACGTAAAAGGTAAAAAAGGATTGAAGTAATGTAAGGGTTTACGTATGGCACGCTACGAGTTCTCATCTGCTGACATCTATCTGCGAAAATATTTTACTNTGGAGGTGTAGACGTCGTCCGTCTTTCAGACAAAGTAAAACAAACTATGTCAGTTGATCTTTTTTGATTCCCGATGGAATCTAATGAATCGAAATTATTGAATATCATTTTAAACATTTGAATTTTTTCGTGGCATTTCAATTAAAATGAATGTTTTGAACTGGGCAAATTTGAAAATTTTAATAAGTTGGTCAGACCAATTACTTTTGGTGCAACGACATTAATGACTGGTCTGACACAAAAAAGACAAATGGTAAACAATTTTTTTCATTTAAAGGATTTATACTGATTGCTCCGATCGATGAAAAGATTTGCCACGAGGTGAGAAAATGTAATCAACTCATTATTTATGTTATCTCATTACAGCCAAACCAAACATGCCACGAATCACGTTTTCTATGTCTTTTCTTTAAACAAACTCTCTAGCAGTCAAAAGCACAGTTGCATAAAAATCGTTGTTATTTGAATGGGGAAATTTTTTTCCGATGTGAGTTAGAACAAGTGAAAATCTACTGGACACAATACCTCTTCTTGAATATGCGAGCTTTATTTCAGTGTGAAACTCAAGTCGTTATGTGACGTCTGGTCCTCAGCCTACGGGTTACACAGTTGCGCACCTGGTATTCCAAACTAGGCAAGGCCGGCATATATGAGGCAAACGATGCTTTAGCTTGTATGGTAGGGAGCACTGACTGATAACCTCGTGATTCAAAAGGCCCCGTACTTAGCATAAGAACTTTCATTTATTTAATTTTTGTTTAAGAAAGTTTACTTCAGAAAGATAAAGCAATATTATAAGTTTGCTTTTTGAATATTCCCCAAAGCAGTCATTTGACCGCACAACTCAAACCAGTTGACGGATTGCATGCAGTCAATTACTTAAAATTTCTATATGCGAAGGTATTTATGTGAATATTAGGAGGAAACTGTAAACATAAATCTACAGTGTAACTGAGCAGATAAACTGTGGTTGGCACATGATATTAGTGTCATCTAAGATTAGCTGTGGCTTGATGTCCTGGTTATAGGTCACATTTGTTTGCTTCAGTGTAAACCCTAACCTAAATCATGTGTTCTATTGTTTGTAACTGAATAACTCAATTTTGGGCACTCTCGAAATAACGTATGAATATTCGGGTTTACTTCTGAAGATCTCTCAATATGTTCTACTGCAATACACTGCTTCTGCTTGGTTATTTTTCCACCACATATCCCGTTCTTTAATAAGCAGGTCAACTTTAGCGCATGTGAGCAAATGTTACGAAACCGTTGGCGTGCGATCTGTTGTTGTCAATAGTTACACATCATTATCTTTGAATTATTGACTGTTGTGCCTTTCCAACTCAGTCCAGGATTTAAAGTCCTACAGATTTGCTATACTAGCTTTCATGGTTTTGCTCCGTCTCGATTTGCTGGCTTAAGTGGTATACAACCGTACTTTATGTCGAAATAAATGTTGTGTCCATTTTTGGTTAGGTAAACAGA